TCTCCTATTCAGGATTCAAGGACTTTCTTTTCCCCTTAGAGATAAGAGTTATGCAATTTGGGAGTCTTTTAGATAAACCCACTGAAGGGGTGCTCCAACTGCCTCACCCTGCATCCCTGTTCAGCATGGAAGAAGCCGGAGCAGTCTGCATCCCTTGTCCCTATTGGCAATTTGGGTAGCCCCTTCAGAGGATGGTGTGTTAAGACTAGGAGGTAGGAACTGGCTAGGCAGTTAGGGTAAAAAGACCCCAAAGAAATGTAGGCAATCCCCCTAGGCTAAAAGTCAAAATGTCCTTGGGCCTGTTAGCAACACACTCTGTTCCAAAGGCCAAAAATGTCAAAATGTCAAATGTATTTGGGAGCTAGTATCTAATCCTTAAAAGATTTTAGGGTTACTTCTTTAGAGGGGGGAATGTTGGAGGGGAGGGAGTGGGCACGGATTTGATCAAAACACCTTATATGCATATATGAAATACTAAATAAAGTTTTTATAAAAGTTAAAAAGAAAGAGCAGGCTTATGGATTTACAGAAGTGTATATAGTACAATGTAAACCATAATCAATACGGAGCTGAGTGGCTTGAATCTGAGTCCTACCACTGTCTTTTTCAACCCTGAGTAAGTTACTTAGCATCTTCTACAAAAATAAATACACACACACACACACACACAAATTTTAAAAACCTAGTAAGTGTTGTTTTATTTAACTTAAGGAATTACTATGAAAATTAAGTGAAATAATAAAAATTTAAATGTTTGATTTATTAACTACCATAAAAACATATCAATATGCACATAAAAGCATTGTGGAACATGGCGCAGAAAGACTCTAAAAGCCAGGGGTCAGAAAAGACTGAAGCTCAACAGTGTTCTGGAAATGACAGAACAGCTACATTCATGAACTCACAGCAGCTGTGGTTGTCTGCACAATATTAAGGCAGTCAACAACTTAGCATGAAGAAGGGAGTGGCTCATAAGCCTCTACTCCTTACTGAGGAGCTATTGACAGTTGATGACTTATGGAGGAGGAAAAACTGGTTTTCTTTAAGGGTGTGGCCCTTTGTGATCAACCACACAGCAATGGAAGGCCCCATACCCATGAATATAAAAACAGCACAAACTGGACTCTGGTTATTAAAAAAAAGGGGGGGCGGTATCTGTGACAAGTTAGGGAGAGGAGAACAAATATGATCAAAATACACTGTATGAAATTCTCAAAGAATAAAAATGTATTTTAAATACATTTGGCAGGGCATGGTGGATGGCACCGCACACTTTTAATCCCAGCACTCCAGAGGCAGAAGCAGGTGGATCTCTGTGAGTTCAAGACCAGCCTGATCTACATAGCAAGTTCCAGGCCAACTGGGTCTACAGGGAGACCTTTTTTAAAAAGTTAATTTATATGCTTTCCTTTATAACACAAGAATATAGTTCTAGTTCATAAGCATATGACTTTATTAAAGTCAACTCACATCAAAGAATATAAACAATGAAAAAGAAATAACAAAGGGGACAAACTCAAAACAGGTAAGTATCATATGCACCAAAAGAATGAAGGAGCAGGAGGATGGGGAGGAGTGCTGTGACACTGTCTTCTAGAGTTGACATGGCTGTTGTCTTCATGATCTCACTGCAGCTGTGGTTACCTGCACAATACCTATACAAGATGGAACAGTCAACCTTCCAGCATGGATGGGGAAGGGCTCATGAGGCCCCCATCCTCCTTGAGGAGCTACTGGCAATCAATGATTGCTGGGGGAGAGCAAGTCTTTTTCTTCAGGTGTGCAACCACTATCAAGCTACCCATGCCCCAGTAAATAATCCCACATCCATGTTCATGAAAGCAACCATAATAAAACGGAGTGGGTCACCAAAAAGAAAAGAAAAGAAAAGAGAGGAGAGGAGAGGAGGGGAGGGGACGGGAGAACAGAGGGGAGGGGGAGGGGAGGGGAGGAGAGGGGAGGAGAGGAGAGAAAAGGAAGCAAATAAAAAGCAAAAAAGACATGAAAGAGGAATACTTGTTGGAAAGAAGGGATTCGATGGGAATAGAAGGGGGGAAAGAGAGTAATAGATGGTGAAAATGACCAAAATAAATGTATACATGTATATGCATGCATAAAATTGTCAAAGAATAATAAACAAACAAAAAAGGATGTGTCCTATTAGAAACCAGAGAGCAAGACAGGCCATTTTAAACAATTATTCAGTCTGATTGATCAACAACAGAGCCACGGTCCCATTAAAAGCTTGGAAGGCAGGTTGGAGAGATGGCTCAGTGGCTAAGAACACTGGTTGTTCTTGCAGAAGACCACGGTTCTAATGCCAGCACCCACATGGCAGCTAACAACTGTCCGTAACTCCAGTTCCAGGGGATCCAATGGCCTCTTCTGTCCTCCATGGGTATTGCACAACACGGGTGCACTTATCTACATGCAGGCAATATACTCAAACACATAAAATTAAAATAATAAAAAATATTTAAAAAAAAAAGAAGCTTGGAAGGCTAGCTAGTCATGGTGGTATACACCTTTAATTGCAGCACTTGGGAGGCAGATCTCTGTGAGATTGAGGCCAGCCTAGTCTACATAATGAGTTCCAGGCCAGCTGGGGCTACAGGGAGACCCTGTTTCAAAGAAACAGAAAAAAATAAAAAAAGAAAAAGGAAAAAGAAAAACACAAAAAAACAACAAGAAAAGCTTGAAAGGTTGAATATGTATCACCCCCAGACGCTTACTATGTTTACTAATATTTACACAAAAGAAAGTCCCCTTTCAATTACCCACTAAAAGGACCTTTTAAGTTATGTAAAAACATTACAAAAATATATAAAACCTGGTGAACTTATTTACAAAAATGTCTTTTTAAAAATCTCTTCCCTTTAAATAAATTTCCTAAAACACAATGTGAAGAAGAAAAATCAAGGAAAGATTTCACAAGCAATTGGAAGCTGTCATGACTGTATTAATCATTAAGAACCAATTTTGGTATTTTATCAGTTTTATACATTCTTAACACTAGATACTTTTAAATGAATATGCATTTAAATGGTATTACTGAGCAATCAGTATAAAATGCTTACATCTTAGAGGCTAAACTAAGACCACGGGGTCCCTCCTGGTCATCGCTGGCACTACAGCCAGCACTGGCTGAAAGATCAGGAGAGGTGTGGTCTGGGGGAAGGGTTTACTAAGACCATGAAATATCATGACTTTTTTTGTTTACATATTTAATGTAAAGTCATCTTTTCTTTTTCTTTTTTCTTTTCTTTTTGGTCTTTTTGAGACAGGGTCTCCCTGTAGCCCCAGCTGTCCTGGAACTCACTATGTGGACCAGGCTGGCCTTGAACTCAGAGAGATCTGCCTGCCTCTGCCTCCCAAGGGCTGGGATTAAAGGCGTGGCCATCATGCCCTGCTCTGTAAAGTCACTTTTTAAAAAAGATTTATTTAGGTGCTAAAGAGATGACTCAGTGGCTAAGAACACTTCCTCCTCTTCCAGAGGACCTGGGTTTGGTTCCCAGCATCCATGTGCCTAACCACTATCTGTAACTCCAGTTCCAGAGGATCTGATACTCTCCTCTGGCCCCAATGGGCATATACTACATTATGTAGTATATAGTACTTACATACTTGCATATAGCACTTACATATATGTAGATAAAAAGATTTTAGAGTATGTGCACCTTGGTGCAAGAGTACGCAGAGGCCATAGGTGTTGGATCCCCTGGAGCTAGAGGTGCAGGCTGTTATGAGTTACCTGACATGGGTGTTGGTAACTGAACTGGGGGTCAGTGCACTCAACTGCTAGTCATCTCTCCATCATCCAAATCACTTTTGACACGTGAAATGATTAAAAAGAGGTATCTACATAAACAGTACTACTCTAAATCCAAAAAAGATATAGCTACCACATTCCTTTTTTGATGTAATTTGCATGTACAAAGTTACTATGTTGGTAACACACTTTAATGCCAAAGAGAGGGTGATCTAAGATTCAAACATGCATATGGCAACATGCTCTCAATTTCATAAAGATAAAAAAATTTCCACAAGGGTACAAAATTCAGGCTCCAGAATTTTCACTGCAATATTTTTTGTCCTTGCAAAAGGTTGGTAATTGGCCAAAATCAATTGTATGACTATACCATAAATAAACTGATGTATATAAAAATAGCATATATTAATGTAAAAACCAATGAAATTACATTAAAAAATTAATGGAAACAGTAGTGTGTTTGATGAAGAAAAGAAACTGCATTGGGGAAGGAACTATAGTTTACATATTAAAAGAAAAAAATGGGTAAGCACAGTGGTCATAACTGTAATCTAAGCACGTGGGAGGTGAGATAGGATTGCTGTCTTGGCTTTAAAGCGTAAGACTAAAACCAAAAAAAGGGGGTGGAGGGGGTCCTGTTAGTAACAGGACAAACTGATTATTCGACCTTGCCATTCTGGGTTGTGAGATCTTATATGATGAATTTCTTAATAAACCACTGTATTTTCCTTATTTTCTGTAATGAGCATGAATTATTATTAATATTTTGAGACATGTATCCCACACTGACTTTGAACTTGCTCCATAGTCACAGATGATCCTGCACTTTTGATTCTCCTGTGTTCATCCCAAGTGCTGGGATTATAGGTTTATAGGCATGGGCCACCACACTCGGCTTATGTGGTCTGGGGATGAAACCCAGGCTTCCTGACGGGTAAACATTCTAACAAATGAGCTATATCTCCAGCCCACAACATGAATTAATTTTTATAAAAAAGAAAAAAATGTTATGGCAAAAAAGTACTTAATTTTTTTCCTTAAGCCACAATTGTATTACAGAAAATTACAAATGCTTCTAAATTATGTAGTTCTAACCTCTTCTTGATCCAAATCTTTATCCCTGAAATTTAATTCCGAAAGATCAATTGTAAGACTATTTTTTTCAGTCTTCCAAATATCATCAGGTTCTTTCTTTTTGTGTCCCAAATTGGCTTTATCAGGCAAAAGACTTATTCCCCTTGGTATAGGAGGAACAGGCTTTGTCCCATTTAGGCCTCTTCGGGAAGATGGTGATCTCACTAAGGCAGGTGTAAGTTGAACTGGAGTAGTTTTTTCTTGAAAATTTTCTCCTGCATGAAAAATACATTATTTTACTTTATTTTTATTTTCAGAGAACAGGAAGTTTAAGTAATATTTGGAATATGTATTTTTAAATAAAAAGTATATTCTCTTACATTAGAAACAAAGACTACTTTTTAAATTGAGATGAAGTAAAAGCATCACTGTTCTCTAATAAATGTAATAACATGAAATCCTTTCATATTACATAAAAACACTATATACCACACTACTAATTCAAACATAAATTTAATCAAAGCATTGATCGTTACCCATCAATCCTACCTGTAGGGTCAGATGATTTTTGGCTGACAACTTTTTTTTGTGGACTTGGCTTTGACAGTCCTTCAAAATTTTTAAGAAGCCAAGAATTTGAGAAATTAATGGAATTATCTTGAGATTTCTTTGGAGATATAGAAAGAGGACATGTGTGCTTTGGGCTGGTTCGAGGTGATGAGAAAGGATAGGATGGAAGGATAAAGGGTCCTGGGCTTGGATTTGAACCCGAGTATGATGAAGTTCGCTCTGTTTGACTACCAAATGTTTGCTGTGTCTTACTGCCAAAATTTAGGCTAGCATACACTGTAATAGAATAAAAAGAATGTTATTTATATACACACAACCTTCTCAGAGTTCAAAGGCTTTCCTCTTGTCACATTTAGATTTTCACCCTATATAGCAATTATATTTTTATACAGTGTCAAGTAAACATCCAATTAAAATTGTACTCAAATACCTTGCATCTTCTAATCTAAAACTTTCTTATCCTATTGAAATTTTCTAACACATTTGCAGAGTTATTTTATCTTTTGTAATTTTATCAAATTATTTATATACCAAAACACATGCATTTATATCATATACACACACATCAGAAAAGTATTGCCTTTTTTTTTTTTTTTTTTTTTGGTCTTTTTGAGACTGGGTCTCCCTGTAATCCCAGCTGTCCTGGAACTCACTTTGTAGACCAGGCTGGACTTGAACTCACAGAGATGCACCACCACGCCCGGCTAAGTATTGTGTTTTTAGTGAATCATTCTTCTCATTATAACTTTATTGGATACATTTTCCCTATCAATATATTTATACGTACTTTGAGTGTTTGTTTATTGTACCTTTTCTGTACTTCACTTTCTCCCAACCTACTTTTTAAAATATGTATTTTAAGTACTGCATTTTTTGTGTGTGATATTTGGTATTTAATCCAGAGTCTTGCACATGTTAAGCAAATGCTCTACCACTGAGCTACATTCCTACCCCATAATTGTCTCCCTTAACAGCAACATTTCAATGGAAAAAAAAAATCTGATTTATTTATTATGTGCACGTGTGTGGATGCTAGAACCCGGTGTGTAGATGCTAGAAACTGGTCAGTGATCCTCCTCAATTGTTCTCCACCTATTATTTGATTAGACTAGCCAGCAAGGCCCAGGTATCCTCCTATCTCTGCCTTGCCAGCATAGGCATTACAGATATACTTTGCTGTGCCTAGCATTTACATGGGTCCTAGGGATGGAAATCAAGTCCTCTTGCTTATGTTGCAAATACTTTACTGAATGAGCCATCTACCCAGTTCCATTGCTATAATATAAATGGTAAGTTATTCACTTATGTTGGTAGCAATTATTGATATGCTTTTTTTAAATTTTTTTTTTTAATGTGTATGCATGTATTGCCTGCATGTAGGTAAATGCACCCGTGTCATGCAATGCCCGCAGAGGTTGGAAGAGGCTGTCGGGTCCCCTGGAACTGGAGTTACGGAGAGCTGTTGGCTGCCATGTGGGCGCTGGGATTCAAACCCTGGTCTTCTGCAAGAACAACCAGTGTTCTTAACCTCTGAGCCATTGCTCCAGCTCCTGATGTACTTAGTTTTGATTCTACCATCTTATATATTTTTTACTTGTCTTTGTATTTTTTCTTATTTATTATTTTTATTTCATGTGTATGAGTGTATTGCCTGCATGTGTGTAAAAGCACTCCTGTCATGCAATGCCCATGGAGATCAGGAGTTATGGACAGTAGTTAGCCACCATGTGGGTGCTGGGAATTGAATCCAGGCCCTCTGCAAGAGCAACCAGTGCTCTTAACTACTGAACCATCTCTCCAGCCTCTATTTTTTTTTTTTTTAAAGACAAGGTCTCATGTAGCCAAAGGTGCCTTCAAAGTCACTATATAGTCTATGCTGGCTTTGAACTTCCTAATCTTCTTACCTCTGCCTCTGCTTTCCTAGTGATGGAATTAAAGGCATGAACAATTAAGCCCAGTTTTTTTGTTTTATTTAACATGGTGCTAGGGATGGAATCCAGAGCCCCATGTGTTCTAGGCAAGCATTCTTCTAACTGAGCTGCCCCCAGATAGTATTTTTTCCCTACTAATTGTATATAAGTTCTAATTCCTCTAGGGTTTTTTGTTCGTTTTTTTGTTGTTTTGAAACAGGGTCTGGCCATGTAGCCAAGGCTGGCCTGAAATTTACATCATGACAATTCAATTCTCCTGCTTCAATGTCCTAAGTGCTGAAACTATAGCCATGAGGTGCTACATCCAGTCTTTTCTGAAACAACTTGTCAGGAAGTTATATTTTCTAAGAAGATGTGACAAATTCTAAATAGCTTTAAAAATTTAAATAACTGTATGCACACAGTACTATTTAATGAATGTTATTTTCAATTACCTGAAATGAAGATGCTGGCTTCATCATAAGTTTATAAACTTTGATTAGTCATATTTCAATCAAGATTATAAAATCTAACATTTAGGGTATTACGAAAAACGCTATTAATGTCATGAAATTGCAACAAACATGCTTTTTTATTTTAATCACACAAAATAACATACAGGCTAAAGTCAGAAATGTTACACATTTATAAATAGCATTTCCACATAAATCTGAAATTTTTACCTTTATCTTGATGACTGTTTGCTGTCCCCAGGAACTGTAAGTCAGAATCTACACTGCCAGTTTTACCACCTAGTGACAATCCAAGTTGTCCACACTTTCCAGGAAGATTTGTCTGATGACCTGCAGTATTACCTTTTGAAGGAAGACGTGAGGAAAGCATAAAGTAAAAGTCAACATTACCTCACGAAAGCATCTTATTTAATGAGCACTGGTGTCAACTTGGTGAGAATAAATACGAGAGTGCACTGAGAGAGGCAGGTAAGAAAAGGACAGTATTTAATATTGATAAGGCTTACCAGCAGAGAATATGCACTAAGAAAGGTCATAAAAAGGAAAGGTGCTGGGCATGGTGGTGCACGCCTTTAATCCCAGCACTTGGGAGGCAGAGGCAGGCAGATCTCTGTGAGTTCAAGGCCAGCCTAGTCTACATAGTGAGTTCCAGGCCAGCCTGGTCTACATAGTGAGCTCCAGGCCAGCCTGGTTTACATAGTGAGTTCCAGGCCAGCCTGGTCTACATAGTGAGCTCCAGGCCAGCCTGGTCTACATAGTGAGTTCCAGGCCAGCTGGGACTATAGGGAGACCCTGTCTCAAAAAGACAGAAAAAAAGAGGAAAGCTATACTAAAGAAGACAGTTCCTTCCTACATTCTCCATTTTCTCATACTACACAATGCCACTCCGTATCTGTCATTCAGTCTCCACACCCCCAACCCGTCATTCACATAATTTATTTTTATTTTTATGTGTATGAGTATATTGCCTGTAAGAAATGTAAGTGCACCCATGTTGTACAATGCCCACAGAGGACAGAAGAGGGTATTGGATCCTCTGGAACTGGAGTCACAGATGGTTATTAGCTGCCATGTAGGTGCTGGGATTCAAAGCTGGGTATTCTGCAAGAACAGCTAGTACTCTTAACCAGTAAACCATCTTTCTAACCCCCATTCATATAATTTCTAAACTTACCCAGGCTTGTTTCCTGAATCTCTTTCCTGTGACTAGTTAATGAAAGGTCATAATGACCTTTCTAGTATTCAGCTAGTTTTAAATTCTCTCCTTTTATTTCAAACTTTTAAATTTTTTAAAAATTATTTTTATTTTATGTGTATGAGTGTATTGCCTGCATGTATTTAAGTGCACCTGTGTCCTGCCAATGCCCACGGAGGTCAGAAGAGGGTGTTGGATTCCCCTGGAACTGGAGTTTAAGATGGTTGTTAGCCACCACATGGGTGATAGGAATTGAACTCAGGTCCTCTGCAAGAGCAGCCAGTGCTCCTAACTGCTGAGCCATCTCTCCAGCCCCTCTTTTAAAGCATTTTAATGTACTAGATCTTCCAGGTTCATTTCCGCTGCTGTGCTTTAGGCTATGCTTTCTCCCTGCTTACAACAATTCCTATTGCCTCGCTGCCAGCTGCAAACCCGTTAATGCTTTTAAGTTCAGCTCAAGCAAACATCTTTCCTGCCATATTCTGAGACTACTTAGCAACTATGATCTCTTCCTGTGATATTCCTGTGATATTCCTAATTTATATCAGTCCATCTAGCATTAGGTTACAACATATAACATCTCATATTATATCTAGTTGTTCAAAATCTATATAACTATGTATGAGCTTCTCAATGGTAAAGGAACTATGCTACTTATAAAAATAAAAAAAATAGTATGAATATAACTGGATATATTGTTGTACATTTTTTCCCCTCTATCAAATAAACAAATTAGCCGGGCGTGGTGGCACATACCTGTAGTCCCAGCACTTGGGAGGCAGAGGCAGGCAGATCTCTGTGAGTTCAAGGCCAGCCTGGTCTACATAGTGAGTTCCAGGTCAGCTGGGGCTACAGGGGGTCCCTGTCTCAAAAAGACCAAAAAAAAAAAAAAATTAAAGCACAATCAGTATAACATTTCATTGCATTTCTGCATGAAAATACTACAGAATTTTGCTGCCTAAAGCTCCACAAATTCTCAGAAGAATTTTTACCAAATACTGTGATCAAACTTATAGTCAACAAATTTCAATAACTGATACCAATTGGATAGTAAATAAATGTTAAAATTATAAAATACCCAATCTTTACTTTCAAAACTATTTTTCCTTCCCACTGGTATTATTTATCAACATACATCCTTTTCTCTTTTCATTTTTAGAAATATTTTTAGAAAAATTAATACCAATTTATTACCATACATAAGAAAAAACAAAGCCAAAATAGGATTGTAATTAATTCGATCTGATTTCTCTAATTTTCTAGGTGCCAAATCTTGAAATTCTTCCCTATTCACCTTCATCTTGTATGTCAACCTATCATATCCTCCTGATTGCATCACCCTTGCTCCTTAATTACAAAAAAAAAAAAAAATCCATTGTCTGTCAGGCAAGTATGAGGTTAAATTTTTGAGCCAGCACACAAGTACTTCCCAGTCCCAATTTAATCTTTCACCATCTTGCCTTGACACAGCTCAGCAAACACCTGAAGCCTATTCCTTCTATTTTTGTAGATTTCTCTATTTCTGTCACATGAATCAAAAAGCTACAGAGCATCTTCTTTAAAGACTTTTCAAACTGCTAACAGCGTGAGGCACTAACCAGGGCAGCTGAAATGTCATATGCCTACTTTCTCTAACAATTAGACAATTAAATAGCTTTCAGCTTCTTTTCAAAGAAGTGCCTAAGCCTTCTTGACTTCCTTTTTCTCACTCTCCATATGGAATCTACTAGCAAATCATGTCAACTCTATCTACAACATGTAATGTGAACCCAATAACTTCTCACTATAGTCACTGACATGCTAGTTAAAGCCTCCATGATATCTAGCCAGAATTGTGACAAGGAGCTTTTAATCAGTTTTCCCCTTTGTCCTTCTTTCATCAATTTTAAATATAACATCCAAAATGAGTTCAATAGGACTTGTGACTGAGAACTTCTATTTTCCCTTTTCTTTTCAGCTCTGCATGTCCTTATTCATTTCGTTCCTAACATACTAGTCTCTCTCACCTTTGTGAAACAAGTTCTCCATACAACCATCTTAGGTACTTTGCCCTGACTATTCCCTCTTCCTGAACTCACTGGCTCATCTTTCCTGTAACTATTGGTTTGCTTTAAATATTCCTTTCTGGAATACGGATGCCTTTCATCTTAGAATCTAAAATGTTCCTCTTCCTCTTCAGCATGACCATCTAATCTACCATGTCTTACTCTGATTTAGTACTTGCTCCTGTGCTCAACTAGAATGCAAGCTTTACTTTGTAGTTATCCTTCTCTTGACTGCTATATCCCCACCATTAGGAAAAGCACCTGACATACAGAGATGATCAATAAATGAGTGGCTTATTATGTGACTACTGCCCTGCATTATTAACAGTTTGCAATAAGAAGACCTTCTGTGGTCTCATGAGATAATTATGTCAAAAGTGCCCACTTTCATCAAATCTTCCATAAGTATTTATTGAATTTGACTTGTCTATTAGATTATACTTTCTATGAGCCTTCAAATAGACTATGGAGTTCAAAGAAATCATTAACTTAGTTCAGCATATTCATTACCTCATATTTTTACTTACCAGCACTACATACAGGAATAGAATCTGAGTTACAATCCCGATTATTCTGAAATAAGTTTCTTGACACTCTTTTTCTGCTAAAACATAAGTCATCATTTACCGGCATTCCTTGAGAGGGCTTTAATTTTGGAGAAGAGATGAGGTCATGTGCTGAAAACTATAAGAAGAAAGCCAGCAAATGTGTATTAAGTCTCTTAGGTAATAAATATGACACAATTAATTTAGACCCAATTATAAAACTCAGATAAAAGAAAAATACTGAATATGCAATAATACAAACATTTATACAGTATGATATGCAGGATTTTTCACTCCAAAATAGAAATGCTATTTTTTTTCTCTTTCTTTTACTGCTTTAGTTCTTTTCTTCACCTTTCTACAGTATATATCTGGCAACTAGAAAGGAGAGAATACAATGACAAAAAGGGTAGGCAATTCATATGAACATTAAAATTTGCTATTAGCAAATTACAACTCTTCTTTTGACTTTGTCATACACACACACACACACACACACACACACACACGCACGCACGCACGCACGCACGCACGCACACACACACAGCCCCCAAACCAACTCTGACTGCAAGGACTGAACTTTCTATATCTTTCACATCTAACATCTAAGCAGTAGAGTCACAGAGCATGTGTGTTGAATTATAGTTGCTTCTCCTGGCTGCCTCTTTAGTCCGGTCTTCATTACTCAAAAGTAAACCTGTCCTGTCTGTCCTTGTGCTACTATGTTGCTTATCTTATCTTCCACTGTCACAAACACTTAGAATATTTGTTCACTTAGCTATTTGTTGATTATAAGTATGGGAAGAGCACTGTGGTTAGTAAGTTATAAAACCAAAACCCCAGACTAATGAGATGAGTCAGCAGGTAAAGGAGCTTGCCACCAAGCCTAATGACCTGAGCTAGATCCCCAGAATCCATGTGGTGGAAGGACAGAACTGACTACTGCAAGCAAGCTATCCTCTGACCTCCACACACACACACACAAAATAAATAAATGTAATAAAAAAAATTATGAAAGAAATAAGATTAAAAAAGAAGAAAACATTTAGAAAATAAAAAATGAAAGCAAGCCAAACGTGGTGGCACACACTTTTAATCCCAGCACTTAGGAGGCAGAGGTAGGCAGATCTCTGCTAGTTCAAGGCCAGCCTGGTCTACATAGTGAATTCCAGGTCAGCCAGGGCTATAGGGAGACTATATATATATAAATATAGGGAGACTATATATATAAATAAAAACAAAACCCAAAACAAAAACATTTTCTAATATTCTACTGTCCTCCTGTCATCATCAAGGAGAAAGAAAACATGATTCATGTATGTTATCTACCAAAAAGGACAGAAATGATAAGCAGAGTTTTAAAGAGTAGTCTATAATCTCCAACATGGCTTGGGACATAGCAGATGATCAAAAAGATGTTCAGCCAATGCTTACTGCCTATGTTTTCTCACCAATCCACTTCATAGACTTTTAACTTTGGCCTCTGCCTATGATTTACAAAAACCACTCTTTCCCATGTTGAAATAACCTTCCAACAACTAAATTCTCTGCCTTGAAAAAGCTACAAATCTCGTGACTGCATACATACGAATTAAGGATATACCTTACTTTTTAATCTGGGTCATTGATTTCTATGGCACTTATCCTACTGTAGACAAAAAACTGTTACTGCTATGGTAGTCAGTGAATGACACCTGATTACTTTACCCTGCTAACTAAAATACTCTTAAGAACAGAAAAAAAAGATGCCAAGTCAGAATATCACAAGAAAGTGATTATCAGTTATATGTCAAGGCACAAAAATAATTCACTAAGAAACTTAAAATAAAAAAATAAACAAAAAAGTAACTCACTGAATGGGAGAAATAACAATAAAATAAAAAGTAATAGTTCAGTTAAACACATTAAGACCTTATATGAGCTCATATTCTGGCTTTGCATATTTTTTTTCTGTTCTAAATTAGTGAAGGGCTTGTCACACAAGCATGAGTATAGTCACCACCATTCATATAGAAAGCCAAGTACAGTAGTGCATGCCTTAATCCCAGTGTTGGGGAGTCAGAAACAGGAGGAGCCATCTCCCTAGCCCTCCCAAGGTGCCTTAATGCAAGAATTTGTACAGGGAAGGCAAGTTAGTCATCATCTACCTGGTAGTATAGTAGCTAAAAGCATCAATTCTGGAGCCATATTGCCTATGTTCCAATCAGCTCTACAACAACTCACTAAGACAGCAAGCTATTTAACCTTTGTGTTTAGAACAGTGTCTGACACATTGTAAACACTATTCAGCATTAGCTTCTGGGCTAGCCAGCAAGATGGCTCAGCAAGTAAGAGTGCCTGCAGCCAAGCCTGACAACCTAAGTTCAATCCCTGGGACACAATGGAGGAAGGAGAGAGCCAACTCCTGTAAGTTGCCTTCTGAGCCCCATATATGCACTGTGGCATGCATGCTCTCCACCACCCCCAAATAAATAAAACTGCAACATATTTTTTAAGGGGTAGCTTCTTTTGTAGTCTGAATATATGCCTTTCTAAAATTCATGCATTGAAGCCTACCCCCATGGTCACAGTATGGAGTCTTTGAGAGGTGATTAGGTCATGAGTGGTTCACCCTCATAAGTGACAATAAACTAGGTCTGAAAGAACCTGGTAATCCTTTCACCATGTAAAAACACAAGGTCCCATCTATGAAGCAGAGAGCCCTCACAAAACACAGAATGGAATCGGCCAGGGTCTTGATCTTGATGTGTTGTCATTGTTTCAGCTCTCTACCACAGCCTAAGCCCAAGCCCAGGTTCATCTCAAATCCGCTCATTGGTATGAACCATGAGAACTTTCTGTCCCAGAATGCCTCTGCCTTGGGTTCATACACCTCAGTCACAGTCACTAGACTGGGGTCAGGCACTGGAGGATTTTTGCCTGGCTCTAGATAGAGTCATTTTGACTTTTTTGTTTATTTTTTGGTGCTGGTTACACAGGAGTTTGCTCCCAAACAGGAGTTCAGCCCACCAGGGAACAGGTCTCTTGCCAAGTTGAGGGTAAGTCTAGAAGCTCCTTCTGAGAACTCTACAATGAGGAATGGGGCTTCTAGTTTCTATCTGAAGTTGGGTCTCACTACAGCAAGCCAAGCATTAAGAACAAAAACAAAGTTTGTGTTAGTTTTTATGTCCTGCTCCCCACAGCGTGGACTACTGTCCTGAGAATCTTTAATATAAATAACAAATTTTATAAGAACTTGTGCTATTAGGTCAGACTGAGTTTGAAACTCGGTCCCATAGTTTTCTACCTAGGTATCTTTTTGTGTGTGTCTTTCTGAGACAGGGTCTCTCTGTAGCCCCAGCTGACCTGGAACTCACTATTGTGCCACCATGCCGAGCTTCTACCTAGGTATATTAAAAGACGTTAATATTTAGTTTTCTTACATATAAAATGGGTGACAGTCCTTCCTTTATAAGGTATATATAATGATTATGAGATAAAAAATGCACGGAGTTAAAACAATGCCTAATATGAAATGACTTTTTAAAAACCTCAGATTATAAAAGCATCATCCTAAAATTCTATTTACACCCTAGAATAATGCTTGGCATATTAAAAACAGCTAAATAGATAATTACCAAATTAATGACCTAAATGTGGTACAAGGACAATTTTAATAATAATTAGGACAAATATACTGCTCTAATATTTACGAGGAATAATCATCAATGGCTTTTAAAAATTTATTCCAGCCTCTACTTTTATATGAACTGCAAGTGCCTTATGGCTTACAACTTAACTTAATTCTTTTATCAATTTGGAACAATACTGAATCAGTTTAAAATAGGAAATAACAGGCTGGAGAGATGGCTCAGCAGTTAAGAGCACTGACTGCTCTTAACAGAGAACCCAGGTTCAATTCCCAGCACCCACATGGCGGCTAACAACCGACTGTAACTCCAGTTTCAGGGGAATTCAATGCCTTCTTCAGACCTCCCTGGGCATTGTATGACATGGGTGCACTTACACACATGCAAGTAATACACTAATACACATAAAATAAAAATAAAAATTTTCAATAGGAAATAATATTCTTAATACCACAACACACACACACACACACACACACACACACACACACACACACACACACGCCATCCCCCATGGAGGGAAAGAGTCTGATTTATACTTCAGCATATGAAAAGATGAGAAGTTAAAACAGCACCTAAAAACATTTAAGTTCAAGTAAACTCGTCTTAGATCCATCAGAGATGTATAATAAAAAGCCAAATGGCAACCCCTAAAACTGAACAAATAGGTAGAGACTCAGATTACAACACAGAGGAGAAACTTCCAAGCAGGAATCTCTGCAGGCAATTAATGCTGGGGTAGGGAAAGAAACTGTAATTAACAAATTGCCAGAGGCCCAATACCAACAAACTGGTATTTAAAGCCTCTAGCGACAGTGGCAAGTCACAGGGGAGTCTTCTCTGAGTTTAACTCCAGGAACTCTATCATGAGTTCACATTGAATACTGGAAAAAAAAATATTTTATGCTTCTGCCAGGGAGAGACAAAACAATCATTTTGAAATACATGATAACTTTTCTGTTCTCAGCAAGGTCTACCTTGAGGAGAAGCTTTACTCTTCTTTTTTTAAAAAATATTTTATGTGTATGAGTGTATTGCCTGCATGTATGTGAGTGCACCCGTACTGTGCAATGCCACGGAGGTCAGAAGAGGGCTTCAGATTCCCCTGGAACTGGAGTTAAGGACAATTCATAGATGCCATGTGGGTGCCGAGAATCGAACCCAGGTCCTCTGCAAGAGCAGTCAGTGCTCTTAACCACTGAGCCATCTCTCCAGCACCAGAGAAGCTTTTCTTTTAAGCAAAGCCTGATCTGCTGAAACACTACCAGAACCCAAGCGACCAAGAGGAAGGGGAATAGCTGATTACAGTTCCCCCCCAGGGAGGCTGAGAGGCACAGGTGAATTTCAGAATCCCCTAGCACAAACACATCAAGAAGAAAATATAGGCAGCACCCTCCAAGATAGAGGCGTGGAAAGGAGTTTCTAAATGAGGCACCAGCTGCTCAGGCACTAAGGTCAACATTCAGTAAGTGGGACCTCATTAAATTACAAAGTTTCTGTACAGCAAAAG